AGAAGGAGGAGAAGAAGGAGAAGGAGAAGGAGAAGAAGAAGGTGGAGGAGGAGGAGGAGGAGGAGGAGGAGGAGATGATTGGATTTATACCCCGCCCTTCACTACCCAAAGGAGTCTCAGAGCGGCTTACAATCTCCTTTCCCTTCCCCTCCCCACAACAGACACCCTGTGAGGTAGGTGAGGCTAAGAGAGCTCTTCTGAGAACTGCTCTCAAGAGAACAGCTCTAAGAGAGCTGGTGACTGACCCAAGGTCACTCCAGCAGCTGCATGTGGAGGAGTGGGGAATCAAACCCGATTCCCCCAGAATAGAGTCTGTGCTCCTAATCACTGCACCGAACTGGCAGGGCCCGTGGCTTAGTGGTAGGGCATCTACTTGGCATGTAGAAGGTCCCAGGTTAAACCCCCGGCATCTCCAGTTGAAAGGATTTGGTCGGAGGGGATGTGAAATGCCACCACCTGAAACCCTGGAGAACTGCCACCAGTCTGAAAGACAATCCTAATTTTGATGAACCGATGCCCAGGGAAATGCTGATCACCACTTTGGGGCCAGGAAGCAATTTTTCTCCAGGCCAATTTTGCCAGGGATCCTGGAGGTTTTGTTGTTGGTTTTTTTGTCATCTTCTGGGCATGGAACAGGGGACACTGTGTGTGTGGGGGAGGTATTTGAGAATTTCTTGCCTTGTGCAGGGGGTTGGACTGGAGGTCCCTTCCAACTCTCTGATTCATATGCGCCATTCTTTTCCCGCCCACTGGTCAAAAAATCCAATGCCTAGCCAAGAGCCAGGCTTTTTCCCACGGCTGGTTCACAACCCCATTTACCTCCAGCTGTTTTTCATGATCCAGAAAGGAAGAGAACAGGGCGATATGGAAATAGTTAAAGCCGGAAGAAAATCCCGTGCTACAAAGTGCTATTTCCAAACTTCTTCCTTGCCTTTCTTCCCCTCCCTTCCATTAAAGCTATCTCCTTTATAGCCAGATAAATGTTTGCTTTCAGCCATCTGTCAGCACAGAATGCTCCGCAATGTTAATCCCAAGTGATGGATGTGCCCTGTGGATATCCAGAAGGGTACCTCTGGGGTCATTACTCACTGTTCCCTTTTAGAGGTGATGTGGGGAATTTATAACAACCCCACCCCCGGCCTCGCTAGGATCAAGCCGAAGGGTCTGCTGACGGACAATGACATCCCCTTTCGACACAGCGCAATTGTAGAGGTGATTAAGAGGATCAGAATGGAGAGGAGTTCACTGGAGGCTGTGATTTGCTTAGGTTCAGAGTGGTGATTAAGAGGATCGGAAGGGAGAGGAGTTAGCTGGAGGTTGTGATTCGCTTAGGTTCAGAGTGGTGATTAAGAGGATCGGAAGGGAGAGGAGTTAGCTGGAGGTTGCGATTCGCTTAGGTTCGGATCCCGTTTTGCATGAGTGGAACAGCACTCGTGGAAGTGAACTCATCCCTAAACCCTTTCATGGTGATCTGCTGGGCCGCCAAAATCCCGCCTCTCTCCCCTATGGATGGACACTGGGAATGGCCAGTGGGTCAGAGTAGGAGAAGATAACCAACCACAACATCCAGGAGGCTTAATGTATACCGTCAGTATGCCTGGCCTTTCCTTTTGGAGTGTGCACATTTATAGTTCCTGACTAAGGAAAATGTAGACTCCTGTTTGTGTGTTTTGCCCTCTGTAGGGTTTATCTGTCTGCAAGATGCACAGGCCCGTAGCTACAGTGGGGCGTCTCGTAGCTAGGCCCCCTGACTTACTGGCAAGCGCCCCCCCCCCGACTTCCCATCCAGCTCAGGGCTCCTGAATGGCAGCAGGTGTGGGGAAGGAGTTGGGTATTCCTTTAATTCAATTAGCCAGTGCCCTCGAAGAAATTTAAATATCCCCCGACTTAAAAAATCATGGCTACGGGCCTGAAGATGCATGAAAAAGGTATACAAATTAATATTTTGATGACGATTTTACCAATCTCTTCTTCTTCTTTTGAAGACGGAAGATCTCCAGGCCTCACCTGGGGGCTGGCAACCCTAATTGAGATATGCTTACTTTTGGAAACATGCCCTGTGTCAGAACTGAAGAAAGACAGGGAAAATCCCCAGATATAAGTAAGGCAAATGACACCCCACAACCCATGCATATGCCACCATTCAGCTCTCTAGGTAGCTATGGCAACCCTGACAGATACACGGTGCCTTGTCTATCCAAGCCTGGCAGAGAAGACTCCAAGGCCAGCTCCCTTGGGACCCGGCACTGGGGCACAGCTTGAGAAATGGCTACGGCTTCTACACGCCTCCACCCTAAACAACCCATGTGCTCGACACAGGCATTCCCTCCCCCCAATATTATGGCAAGCAGTGAAGTGAATCAACCAGAAACGAAACTGAAGCTTGACAACTTCATCCTCACATAGGGTTGCCCAGGGGTCATCTCCTGCGGGAGCACACAGGAGCGGAGCTCCGGTAGTAAGGAGCCCAGGGGGCGGGCACATGCAGCAAGCCCCGCCCCCTGCTCCCAGCAGCCCTCAGTAGGGCCACGAGGAGCAAGAGGTAGCCAGGTAAGTTGCAGAGGGGCCCCCCGGCCCACCTTCAGGTACAAGCCTCCTTTGTGAGGACAGATCTGCACGTCCCCACCCCCCAATAGCTAGCAATCCAAAAACAGTGCAGTGGAGCCTGAGCTGTGTTGCCTTCTGACCCACTTCCGGTGATGTCAGGGGGTGTGGCATATGCAAATAAGTTATGCTAATAAGTTATGCTAATGAGCTCCTGCACCTCTTTTTCTATGAAATGGCCCCTGGGGTTGCCAGGTCTGGGTTGGGAATGACCTGGAGACTTTGGGGGTGGATCCAGGGGAGGGTGGGGTTTGGGGGAGGAGAGGGGCCTCAGCATGGTCCAATACCACGGAGTCCGACCTTCCAAGCTGCCATTTTCTCCAAGGGAGCTGATCTCTGTCAGCTGGAGATCAGTAGTAAAAGCGGGAGATCCCCAGGCCCCACCTGGAGGCTGGCAACCCTATCCTCACAAGGCAACGGGCCATAAGCAAACAAGTTTGATAGTCCCTATGGGACAGAATAGGAGCTGCGTTGGCTCAAGTGGTTAAGACGCTGAACTGCAGGCTGTGGAAGGTCGGTAGTTCAGCAGTTCGAGACCCGAGTGTGCCGCAGGACAGAGTGAGCTCCCGTCTCTAGTTCCAGCTCCTGCCAACCTAGCAGTTCGAAAGCAAGAAATTGCAAGTAGATAAATAGGTACCACTTCGGTGGGAAGGTCACAGCGTTCCGTGTGCCTTGGTGTGTAGTCATGCCGGCCACATGACCACGGAAACTTCTTTGGACAGTGCTAGCTCTTCGGCTTTGAAACGGAGATGAGCACCGCAACCCTAGAGTCGGACTCGACTGGCTTTCGAGCAAGGGAAACCTTTACCTTTTTGCTATGGGACAGAATAGGACAATCCAAAAATACAGAAAATCACCAAGTGGCCAGAAATGCAAGTTCTTTTGAGCCCCATGGGCAAGGTGAAGTTGAGAGTCCAGTGGCATCTTTAAGACCAGCAAAGTTTTTTTTTTTGAAGTGATGCACTTCCATGTGCATGCAAGCTTTTTTTTCATCTTTGTGCATGCACACGAAAGTCTTCAAGGTGCCAATGGACTCTAAGATTGTTCCAGGTGCCGATGGACTCTAAATTTGTTCTCAGCGTGGCTGACCGCCTGGAATTAACTTCATTGGCAAGGTGGTGGATGTCTAGGGTTGCTGGAGATGTCCCAGCTGGAGATATTCTGGAATTACAACTACTCTCCAGACAACAAAGATTGGTTCCCCTGGAGGAAATGGCTGTTTTCTGTAGTGGCTAGGAGCACAGACTCTAATCTGGGAGAACTGGGTTTGATTCCCCGCTCCTCCACATGCAGCTGCTGGTGTGACTTTGGGCCACTCACAAGTTCTCTCAGAGTCGTTCTCTCAAGGGCAGTTCTTGAGAGAGCTCTCTCAGCCCCAACTACCTCACAGGGTGTCTGTTGTGGGGAGGGGAAGGGAAAGGGGATTGTAAGCCGCTCTGAGACTCCAAGTGAAGGGCAGAGTATCAATCCAATCTCTTCTTCCCTTTTCTTGATGTGGATCCCTCTGTTATATCATTTGTGAAAATAAATTAATTATTATGCAATGACTGTGGAGGTGTGGGAGAAACTTGTCAGAACCCACAGCCAACAACGTAGTCCACACTTATCAGGAAAGGTAATACTTTATTGAAGAGCTATAGATGCATTAACATAGGCACTGTTAAGAATGGCGTCTGCCCATCGGGCATAATAGGATATAGGGTATTTTTATGCACCCCCCCACTGCCCTGGCCAATTAGCCACACTCCCGTGCACGGGAGAAGGAGCTCAGGCCGTTAGCGCTGAAGCTGGGACCCTACCTCTCTCCCACAGTTCCACTGAAGCTAGACATCACACCACCTGCACAACTTAGAGATAAGCATTACAGCAGCGAAGAAGCACAGAAAGAATGCAGCAGCAATTAGTAGTCAACAGATCTCCCCAACCCCCATGGCAGCATAGCTGAGAAAACTACGCATTCTGAAATGTAAGTCTATACTTGTATTTGAAGGTAATTTGGTTCTAGCAGGTTCCTGTACTAATACTATTAATTAAAGATGCTTTTTCCTTACAGCATTTTTTATATAGTCCACTTCCTTTCATGTCTCAAAAAGCAACCATATTGTGATTTTGCTTATATGCAAATATATTTAAATTTAATTGATCCATTCATTGGTCAAAGGACAGGTGATTACTCATTTCTCCCTGGGGTTATCTCTCCTGGAGGGGAAGTCTTCAAGCAGAGGTAAGGCCGCCATCTGTTGGGAAACTTTACCTTTATTTTATATATTAAGCAGAGGACTGAATTAGATGATGAAAAGCCCAGGGTTCTATCTATAACATTTAATTGATTGGCTATCCCATTTCTATCCAGATGCTGGCTGAATAATCCAAGAAGCAAAATAGATTCAACTTACCGATGGTGGGATCGTGGTAATCAGGGAACCGGTGGCTTATGAACTGCATCGTCATGGCTGGGAAGACATAATCACGAGTCATTAATGGCATCTGCGACACACATGTGGGTCTGCGACATACATACACAATCATGTAGCAGGCATTTGTGAACAATGGTGAATCATAGAATCATAGAGTTGGAAGGGGCCATACAGACCATCTAGCCCAACCCCCTGCCCAATGCAGGACCAGCCTCAAGCATCTCTGACAAATATTCGTCCAGCCTCTTCTCGAAAGCTGTCAGTGAAGGGGAGCCGATTCCACCTTTGAACCACTCTGCCTGTGAAAAAGTGTTTCCTAATATCCAGCCGATACCTTTCTGCATGTAATTTAAACCCGTGGCTTCGGGTCCTATCCTCTGCTGCCGACTGGAACAGCTCCTTGCCCTCCTCCAAGGGACATCCTTTCAAATATTTAAAGAGAGCGATCATGTCCCCCCTCAATCTCCTCTTCTCCAAACTAAACATTCCCAAGGCCCTTAGCCTTTCCTCGAAGGGCCCTTAGCCTTTCCTCGAAGGGCTCAGTCTCTAGACCCCGATGATCAGAACTCATACAGATTCAGTGTGGGGGTTAATCCGTCTCAAGACCTCCCAATTTACAATAATTTATTTCGCATTACTTTTGTGGTGCTGAAATCACTGACCCCAGTTGCCTGAGCCAGTGTGCCCTGGAATATTCATGAACATTCCAACAACTCAAGAACTCTGCTGTCAACCCATTTTCCATCTAACTCCTGCTTGGGGGGGGGGGGAGATTAGCTGCGTCTATGCTGCAAACGTCTTAAGGTGACTTGATAAATGTAGTCACTATTGTAGTCAAGAGGGGGTAGGGGGTAGACCCCAGAAGGAAGGGAAGCAACATTTTATCTCATGCTATAACAGAACAATGGAGCTGCGGTGGCTCAAGTGGTTAAGATGCTGAACTGCAGGCTGTGGAAGGTCAGTAGTTCAGCAGTTCGAGAGCCAAGTGTGCCGCATGATGGAGTGAGCTCCCGTCTCTAGTTCCAGCTCCTGCCAACCTAGCAGTTCGAAAGCAAAAAATTGCAAGTAGATAAATAGGTACCACTTTGGTGGGAAGGTAACAGCGTTCCGTGCACCTCGGTGTTTAGTCATGCCAGCCACACGACCACGGAAACATCTTCGGACAGCGCTGGCTCTTCGGCTTTGAAACAGAGATGAGCACCGCAACCCTAGAGTCGGACTCGACTGGCTTTCGAGCAAGGGAACCTTTACCTTTACCAATAACAGAACAATCCAAGCATCATATCAAAACCAGCCACACGATTTGCCTAGCTCAATGGGACCCCGTAGAAACTATCTCCTCCCTCTGAACTTTGACCCAACTAGCCCCACTCCACAACACTCAGACAAGATAAAATGAGAAAGGGGGGGGTAACGGAGAGAAGAATAGATAAAATGGCAAGAAGTCTGAAGATTTGAGAAATAACAAGCAGAGGAGATGGAGAACTGTGGTAGGTATAGCCATAATAGGAAAGGGGGGGGGGTTGAAGAAACCACTTATGGTCAGGAGGAGTTGTATGCCGTGTGTGTCCCAGGGGTTGAGCCAGCCTACGTCAGGAGAAAGCTTCTTGCGTTGGTGGAAACGGCCAACATTATCGGAATGAATCCATGAGATCTAGCTCAAGGAACTGAGGAAACAGGGGATGATACCAGTTTGGTGTAGTGGTTAAGTGCGTGGGCTCTAACCTGGGAGAAACGGGTTTGATTCCCCCACTCCTCCACTTGCAGCTGATGGATGACCTTGGGCAAACCACAGTTCTGTCCGAGCTGTTCTTGAAAGAGCAGTTCTCTCAGAGCTCTCTCAGCCTCAGCTACCTCACAGGCAATGTTCCCTCTAAGCTGTGGAGTCTTGTGAGCAAAAATTCTACTTTGTGAGCTCCTGGCATTAAAGCTGTGAGCGAGCGATTTGGCTAATGCATCAATTAGTTTGCTCTGGAGCCATCCCTTCCTGAGCTGAGCCAAAATGTGTGAGCTGGAGGCTAAAAAACTGTGAGCTAGCTCACTCTAACTCAGCTTAGAGGGAACACTGCTCACAGGGTGTCTGTTGTGGGGAGGGGAAGGGAAAGGAGTTTGTAAGCTGCTCTGAGTCTCCGAGTGAAGGGCAGGGTACAAATCCAATCTCTCCTTCTTCTTCCTCTTCCTCTTCTTCCTCCTCCTCCTCCCATGTAGCAAATTTTATCCCAACTTTCTTCCGAGAAGCTCCGATGCTCTCTCCGTGTCATCCACACAACAACCCAAATAGGTAGATTAGGCAGAGAGAGAGTGGCTGATCCAGGAGGCCCAGAGTCATACAGTAAACTTCATGGCTAAGTGGAGAATTGAACCTGGGTGTTCTAGAGTGGTACTCTCTAGCCACGATAGCATACTAGTCCACCAGTGGCATAGAACTGGGGAAAGCATAGACTTGAAGGGAGAAGCCGACACAGAGAAAGCAGGATGGGACCAAAGGACTGGTGGGACAGAGCCCAGCTGGAAGGAAGGGGATGAGTAAGCAAGAGATTGGAAGGTTGCCCCAGTAAGGGAGTATAGGGATACTAGGTGTTGAAGGACCCAGTGGAGGGGTTTGATATATGAAATCAGCGCATTGTGGTTTCTTTTCTCACAACCACACTGGAAGAAGGAGAGATTGGATGTATACCCCACCCTTCACTTGGAGTCTCAGAGCAGCTTACAAACTCCTTCCCCTCCCCACAACAGACACCCTGCGAGGTAGGCGGGGCTGAGAGAGCGCTGAGAGAACTGCTCTTTCAAGGACAGCTCTGGCAGAACTATGGCTTGCCCAAGGTCATCCACTCTGCAAGTGGGTCCAATCTCTTCTCTTCTCTTCTTAATTTATGTAGTAGCCAAATCGCTCACTCACGGCAAACCAAAGGAGTGGCAACGGCACGCCTAGGTTGCTTTGCCATTTCTTAGGGCTTCATCAGGCCGCTTTTCTTTAGCGATGGAGCTCAACCCAGCTCTGGCAAGACCAGGCCCGTAGCCAGGAATTTTTAAGTCAGGGGGCATTTTAATTCCTCGGGGGGCCCTGGGGCCCTGGCTAATTTGATTTAAAGTAATTTAATTACCGGCTTCTCGGCGCTCTCAGGTGTGGCGGCGGCACTCTCCACCTGGCCGTCAGCACTGCCTGCCTTGAGCTTTGACATCCTGTGCCTCATCCCTGGTACTCCCCTCCACCCACCCCAGCTGCTCGCCTGCCCACTCGCCTTTTCTCAGTGCAGGAAAGATGTTCTGGAGGTTGCTACCAGGATAGGGGGCAGTGGGGGGGAGTGGGGAGAGATAGCACCAAAAAGGGGGAAGGCAAGGAAAACCAGCGGCACAGGGCGAGTTTGTGGCAGCCACCCTATCTTGCCAGAGTCAGTGGGGGGCTGGGCTGAAAGGGAGTTGTGGGGGGGCTTGGCAGGAAGTTGGGGGGGGGCAGGCCCCGGAATGCCCCACCGTAGCGATGGGCCTGGGCAAGACTCAAAATGACATGAAGTCTACAAGTAGCTAGGAATTAGGCTCTCCAGATGACAGAGAGTGGTTCCCCTGGGGGAAAAAATGGCTGCTTGGAAGGGTGGACTCTGTGGCCTTGGACCATGCTGAGGCCCCTCCCCTCCCCAAGCCCCACCCTCTCCTGGACCCACCCCCAAAGTCTCCAGGTATTTTCCAACCCAGACCTGGCCGACCTTAGCAGGCTCTACGACATCCCATTCCCACTAAGATTCCTCCCTTCCCAAATCCCACCCTCCCCAATCACTGCCCCTAAATTTCCAGGAAACTTTCACGCCTGAGATCCAACATACTAACAGGGCAGGGACTGGAATTCCACGTCACTATGTCAGTTAACTAGGGTTTCCACCTGTCCCTTTTACAGAGGTTTAATGAGTGGAAACGGGCAGCTGAAATTAAACGACAGTCGCCGATAATTGCTTGTAAACTGATATTAAAGGGACAGCCCTACAAACAAACCAATGTCAATTTAGCAGGATTATTTCAGATATAGTGTCTATTCCGAGCTCTGGGCTGGAGTTCATTCCCCGAAATGTGCGACAAACTCATTGCAAGATAATCTCGCGCAGCGAGACCGGCAGGCCATGTCCAATTTGAAATTTAATTTCGTGCTAATGTTACTGATGGCGGCCTTCTTTTTTCTGGATCGTCTCGCAGTGAGCGGAGGGTTAACCAGACGATCACAAAGGCGACGGATCACCAAGATTAAACATTTATTACCATGTTAATAAATGATTGCACCTGCGGTCCAGGCAAACATAAATGTTAAGGCACGTCATTATGAATTTATAGCTGCTCCGCGAGGATCGTGGTTTAAGGAAGCTCATTTACAATATAGGCATTGTGGACTGAGAACACCTCTTCCTGGGTTTTCAGGACTGCTTTCCATTTTACTGGCTCTGAAACTCCTTTCCTTGCACTAGGCATCTTGGCCGAAATGAACTTTGGCCGGGAACACCTTCGCCTATTTTAGCCAACTTTTATCAAAATTAAAAAAAAAATGCAAAAGTAGTTGTTGTTTTTCTTGATAGTGAGGAAGACTGAGGTGAGCAGAGAGGTGCTTGAGGAAGTTTGAGTGTAGTGGTTAGTAGAGCAGATTTTAATCTGGGAGAACCGGGTTTGATTCCCCACTCCTCCACATGCAACTGCTGGTGTGACCTTGGGTCAGTCACAAGTTCTCTCAGAGCTGTTCTCTCAAGGGCACAGTAGAAGGTCTATCAGTTTGGGGAAACTATCTTCCAACCAACTGAAATCTTTTTTTTTCTCCAAAGGAAACCAATTTGTGCCTGCCGCCATTAAAGTTTTTAATACTAAAATTTTAGCCCAAGTTCTCTATGGTGTTCCTATATGGTTCAGTGCTTTTAACTGTGAAGTTGAATCAATTCAATCATCCTTTTTTAGACAAATTATGGGTTTCCCAAACTGTGTTTCTTACTATGCATTGTGCTCTGAATTAGGACTTAATTTGATTGAAACCAAGACATGGGTGTTAACGGTCCGTTACTGGCTTAAATTGTATTTTAACATGGATGATGGTTCACTTTTGTCCTTTTTGTTAAAGGAAATTCATAGTACCTCTTGGGACTTGAATATTCGATCCAAAATAACATCTTTGGGCCTCTCCTTGGAGGAGTTAGCTTTCTCCTCTGAAGTGTATATTTTTAATACAATCAAACAGAGGCTTTTAGATATTGAGTTTCAAAAACTGCAGCCCTTTCATCCCCCTGTCTGCTCTTCAGCTTCATTAAATCTTAAGAATGATGTGGGATGTATTCCCCAGTATTTGTATAATTTGGATAGACATAGCCATCGAAGAGCTTTTTCCCTTGCTCGAGTAAATGCCTTTCCATCAAAACTACTGTATGGTAGGTTTCATAATATTCCTAAGTATGAACGGAGATGTGACTGTGGTTCAAGCTCTCTTGATTCAATTGATCACATACTGCTAGACTGTTCGTTGCATGTATCTGCTAGGGAAAAATGGTTAAACTCTTGGTTGCATGGTAAATATCACCTTTCTAATGAAAGAAAATGTCAAATTCTATTGAATGATACAACAGCAGAGATTACAGTGGCAGTGGCTAATTTTTTAGTCGATGTGATAAGAGTGAAAAATTTGGGAAACTCCGTTTCATGATTTTATAATTATTTCAGTTTTTTAGTTGACTGTGTCA